TACCACAACAGCCTGTCATTATCGCCTCGCTCAGAAAATTGCCCAAACCTAAGGCTAAGGATCCAAACAAAGGCAGATGACCTTTGAGGAGAAGGCAAAGTTAGGGGTTAACTTGCAGAATCTTCCACCAGAGAAGATGGGTCATGTGGTGCAAATTGTGAAGAGGAGGAACCCTAATGTGGCACAGGAAGATGACGAGATTGAGCTTGACTTCGAGGTCCTTGACAATGAAACGCTATGGGAACTGGATAGATTTGTAAGTTACCATAAGAAGGCTCTGAGCGCAATGGAGAGACAAGGAATCACTGAAGATGTTGCTGTCACACAGCTCAAAAAGGTAAGCATAGCATTTGGAGTTTTCATACATTTGTTAACTAATCTATATTATGATGCCTAATTTTCTGATCACCCTGTTGGTTCTGTGATTTAAGTCGCCTGAGAAGGCACCAACACCAGAGCATGCAATGCTGAAAAACAAGAAGGGGGACATTGGGGAAGAGGATGTTGATATCGGTGAGGAAATACCAGTTGAAAACTTTCCTCCTGTGCAGATCGAGAAGGATGCCCTATGTGCAAGTAGTGGGTCAAGCAGTTCTAGTAGCTCAAGTTCTGGCAGTGATTCTTCTTCCAGTGGTAAAATTCTGATATTCTTTTCTTTTCCATTCATTTTGGGAAATCAGTTTGATGTATTATTTACTCTTGCCATGGTAAATTTGCAGATTCAGATTCAGGAAGTTCGTCTGGGAGTGAGTCTGATGAGGATAGTGTACAGTCACCTTATGTTGAAGCAAAAGAGATATAAGCCATTTATGGGTTTGAGAAAGAAATCTCGGTGCTGCAGGGTTTTAGGTCAATTTAATAGTGAATATATGGTGTTTTTCTATTAGGTTTTTTCTTTGGCTGGTTTTTGTACATCTGTTTTTGCAGCAGCTCAGAAGATGATCATAGTTTTGCTGGGTTTGGTTTTCTGGAAGTATGACTAGCTCAAGATTAGGAATTGAGAGGTTTTAGTTAACTACAGAGTAGTGGTAGGATGTTACAAATGGGGACTGACAACAAAGATTTGGGTTTATTTTTTGCTTTTATACAGAAAACCACCTGCTGATTTTCAGTGGTTAGGGAGGATAGGAGTAACTTGTACAGTGAAGANGTTTAGCTCTTCTATTTGAAAGCTTGTTATTCTCTACAGCTTTGTTTGAGATTGTTACCTATCCAGGTCCGCTGAAAGGAATACCATTTCACCTTAAACTGGGCCACATGGAAAAACAATTAGCACAAATTTTTAACAGCCAAATCAATCAAATAATTGATTAAAGCAAGATAGCAACCTCAAATGAATCGAGCAAAGAGAGGGCAAATGCTTTTCACCTCATGAACCAAGTAATTGACAATGTTAGAGAGTGAGGTGACAGCTCCAGGAACTGATTCAATGGCCACAAGATCCAACTGATAAATTAAAACTCAAAATTATGAGGCACACTGGTAAAACATCAGTAACGAAGATTCAATAAGTTCTCAAAGGAAAAAGATAATACTAATATAATTAGCGGAACCAACTACCACATGAAAAGATGAAGCTTGCTATGCCTACTCAAAAGGATCCTGTTGTGATATTCTTGCATCAGAAATTTGCTACTCTGACTCCAAAGGCTTTGGTAGTGATATTTAATCGTTCAGAAAGAGGGGAAGTGCTAAAACTGCTAGGATTTACAAAACGAGATGTAATTCCCATAGGCAACATTGTAAATACATATGTCTGATTCCCTTATTGAAGATCAGGAGTCGATTGAGTGGCTACCTATCCCAACAAAGATTACTATACACAAGAGATCTTGCAACAGCAAGTTGGTAGCAACTGATAGCATCAAGTACCTACCAAAAGCATTAGAATGTGCCAAAAAACAAGAGCATTTAACTGTTATCTAATTATCCACAAATAGAGTTCTGAATATATATCCTGATAAAACATTTACTAACACTAGAGATCTCAATCTTCCTGATAAAACGTTACTAACACTAAATTCTGAATATCGTGAATCACAATAACGTTACCTAGCCAAGGCTTGCAGCAAGAAAGAACAATGGAAGAGTCAGCAGTACCAGTACAGTCAAATAAGCATCTATAAGTTCTATGAACTACTCCCCTTACCAAACCCAAAAGACAACAGATGCTACCACTACAAATGCTTTTCATGTTGATCTGACAAATCAGATCTAGTTAGCCGTTCATCTGTTGAAAACCCCAGAAGTTTCATATGTTTGAGTAATAGCAATAAGATTTCCAATATCGTGCTAAATAGCTAGGACTTACAGTAAAAGATGCCATTCCTTTGATCAGAAATAAAAAATATCGCAAAATTTGAGTTGCTGAAGGTGAGTTAGACAGGAGATAGTGGTCTAGCTATCAAACAGGTCTGCTACCACCAAAGTAGGAGTTATAATATTTATAAAAACAAAGTTGGGAAATGACATAGATCATTCTACCAATCCAGATTGTTGAAAATATAGTAAATCTGATCAGCTAAGTGCTTTTTTGGCCATCCTCAAAGCAATTTTTCATGGCCATTGTGAAAACACTCTTTACATGCTTACCATTTGATACTACTTAGGTTGCGACCTTGTTATAGTCAGCCTAAGGGGAGATTCAAAAGTTGAAACCAGAAATTTCTTCTGAAATATCTAAGTGTACATTAAAGTAAATGATACTAGTGGGAAGAATAATCACTTAATCAATGTCCATGGAAGTAAGATGCCGACTGACTGCAGTTATGATGAATATGTGGAGTCAAGTATATATAAGTTTAGTGAATAGTACCATGTGGACATGGCAAAATGTTGACGTGCTCAAAAGATGGGGATGGAACAAGGATTAATATATGTACAAACAAACCTCTCTATAACAATATCCCTATATAACAACACTTCACTATGAAAGCCAAGTTTTTTCAGAACCAATTTTCATGTTATGTTATAATATATGTTCTCTATAACAGCACTTCGCTATAACATCCAAAAATATTCAGAACAAACGAGGTTGTTATAGAGAGGTTTGACTGTATTGTGTTCAAGTAGATCCTGCAACTTATCTTGTGAATATATAGTGCCAGGCCAGCAAAAGAGTCAGTTTTTTTACCAGTTCTTATGAAACTTCTCAAAATCCACATCCATTTGCCAGAAAAATGTGATAGCTTTGTTACAAAAGACATGAAACAAAAACCTGTTACATGTTTGCCTTACTGATTCCAGAGCAAAAGAGCATATAGTTGAATTTGTCAATCAATAATGTCTTCTCTTGGGAACAGAATCATAAAATAGTTTAGTGAGATTGCATGATTTCTTATTCTCTCAGCTGAAGGACAAAAAGATCAGGAATGATGATTTCTTCTATAAGAACTAAAACCAACATTTCGCAGATTAGGCTATACAATTTTTGGAAAAAAACTCCACGCGATCCTTTCGTCTTTTAATCTTCTACTCCAACATCTGAGATAAAGACCACTATGACAACCCACAGAATCTCATAGGTAGCTGGACTAACAAGAAAGGAACCCAACTGACCAAAACTTCTTCAATTTCTCAGAACAGTGGAATTGCTGGGCCTTTGATGTCTACAATACTGAGAAATCAATCCTATTCTGAAGGAGAGTTTGTCGATTGGTATTATGAAAGCATGATGTTGACCCATTTTTACACTTTACCCCTAACTTGTTTCTATGTGTTGCAACAAAAATTAGATAAGGCTCACAGAAGTTTTACTCATACAAGCTCCATCTAAAACTGATTCCCTCTTAGCTTTCAGAATGACAATGTTAAAGCTGTGGAATTACTAAGAACTGGCTTATAGAATTAACTGGGAAAGGTTAGATTCTGGATGCACAAAAATAAAGGTTTCTATTCTCCCAACTACAACTAAGCATCTCTGATTTATTTGAATGAGGAGAGACAAATCACACATGCAACAACATTCTGGAAATTGTTTACATAGCCGATCTACAGAAAGGTCATGAGTTGTGACACTGTTGGATGGTAACAAGACGCTTCAGTAGCATCACCTTTGCAAACCATGTACACAAGAAGGGAGTAAAATCCTTCTCAAATCTCAATCCATCACATCTTCCACTTATTTTCACGAGTGCTGAACATAAAACAATCCAAGAACTAGTTATCTCCTTCTATGAAACCTGTGACACGTCGATCCTTCAAAATCTAGAATGTTGAGAATTTCTGAACATGTTTAGATACTATCTGCTATCATTGCTAAATCAGATGGAAACACTTCTTTCATCTATAACACCTCTATAACAATTTCTATACAATTTTAACCATAAATTGTATCTCATATTATTTTTATTTAAATCCTAATTGCATAAACTTTATTTTAAACAATGAAGAATTCGACGTCCTAATTCACTGCAGTTAACCCTTCTCTGAGCAAATACCACCATCTTTTTTGGGAGGAGGGACAAGTAGTAATGTTATGTAAGATAATAGAAGCTTATGGGCCTTAAGTTATATAAAAGTAGAGTCATGAGAAACTCCTGCAGAGTGGATCACAGAACATTGATAAACATCACATCACTGTAGATCATGTCACAGTAGATCCGTGACTGAATCAATGGACTAAATTCATACTCTAACACCAATAAAGCACAAAGGAAAAAAAAAATTGTAGATCGCGTAATAAAACCTCAAAAGGAGAAGATACAGGAAAACATACCATCAATTTTGACGCAGCAAGTTTCTGGAGAGAAAAAGCCATCCGAATCTCCAAATCAACCTTCAGAAGAACTCAGAGTTGGATTTACTTTACATAATCTGAAATCAAATGACTAACAGAACTTTAATTGGTTAATAAAAGCTATACCCAGCTCACACACAAGTTGGTTTTTCTTTTTGGAGATCAACTCACTAGGATTTTCATTTAGTAAATAAGCAAATCCATATAAATTTAGAACAAAAAACGACATAGCCTTTTCAATTCCAAGGAATTCAAAAGCCATAGGAACAGAGCAGGGACATGTTCAGACTTGAGATGTGATTCTTTTGAGAGACCACCACTTTGTGTGATCAGTATTAAAGTCGTATCAACTTTTAGGTAAGGGCCATTCTTAGATAAATTTTTGAGTGGTTTTTTTTGTTCTCTCTTGCCTCTTGTTCTTTCTGCTGACGGCAAAATTAAGGAGAAGCATATAATTTGGAATAGAAGAGATGACAGAATATTTTGGAAATTGGGAAATGATAACCTCAACTAACTCATGAAACATGAGTTGTGCTTCAAATTTATCTTTGCGAAAAATACTCATTTGGAATGGTCAAATACAGTTGTCTGAACCATGGGTGTTAATAAAAAACCGAAAAATCGAAAACCAAACCAAATCAAACCGATCAAAAAAATCAATACTTTTTGGTTTGGTTTGGTTTCGGTTTTGAATTTTAAAAACCGATCAAATTTGGTTTGGTTTTGATTTTAATCAGAAAAAAATCGAAAAAAACCGATTATAGGAGTAGCTATTTCAAATTTATTATTACACCTATATATATGTATATTTTTATACAAAGTTTCAAAAATTTAATGGTAAATGTGTAATAGTTTGCACTTTTGGTATAATTCTTTACCTTTACATTCTAGTTTGATTGGTAGTTTTCTTTTGTTAAGTGTAAGAATCCATTTCGTGTTAAAAATAATATATTTTTAATTGAGTCCTTAAATTATTCATCACTATTTGATTCAATTATCATCAATATATCTTGGTCAATAATAGATTTCTCAAAAGGCAATTGATTTGATAGTGTTACGTTGAAAATAAGGTCGCCGGAATATATGTTCGGTAGTGTATGTCTTATATTTAAGAAAAAACCGACAAATAACCGAAAAAACCGAAAAACCGACAAAACCCGACATAAACCGAATCGAGAAAAAAACAACTTAATTGGTTTGGTTTGGTTCTAATATTTGAATTGGTTTCTTTTAAGGGAAAAACCGATCCAAACCGAACCATGAATACCCCTGGTCTGAACTAACTCATATTATGCCTTATGCCTCATCATTTGTCTGCATCTTTACTCCCACTAATAGACATATAGATTTTGGATTTTAAGCCAATGGTTCGAACGTAGAGAACAGCGCATATAATGTTATTTTTAACTATGTATGTTATACATAATCCGATCTAAAATCAGTGGTTACAATTCTGCTTTTTTTTTTCTTTTTTTTTGTATATACATCATGAAAATGAATAGCAATTTTTACTATACCAGTCGGCTATGTGACAAAAGTTAGAAAATGGCCTGCTTACAACACCCACTTTGTTGGGTGTGTAGGACCAGGTTGTGCTGAATGACAATGATTCCACTGTGCCACGTTATGAATCTCTTTGCGGTTAGACTTTTGATGTCGAGCTTCTCTAAGTAAAATTATCCTACGTGGGTAAAGAATCAGACTCAAACCGAAAAAAATAAATTGTGTAAAATTAAATCGAGATGTGTGGTCAAGAGGTCATCGGTATTACTTTTCTCCTACAACCATTTGTTTCTCTCAAAGTATTATTGTTACTACCCGGTTTTCATAAATTTGACTGTAACAGTCCACCAAAGCAAGTAAATAATTGAGAGCTCAGAAACTTATTCACAGAAGAGCATATAACTATAAAAACACATTTCCAAACAGCCACAATCCTGATTAAGACGCTCTATCAAGAACCAGAAGTGCTTATATGTACACATTAGGAGTGGTTCCACTTCTACAAACATACAAGCATCAACCCATCAGTAGGACCAAATTAGCTCAAATACTACTTCACTACTTTGGTCCAGTCCTTTCTCCATACACTAAATCATCAGCACAGCCACTGCCACATCCCTCTGCTCCACACAGCCAGCATAACCACCATTGCGAGAACCACACTATCTACGACACTACCACAGCCACTGCTAGTGCCACTGCCTCAGCTGTTTGCTCCTCCTTGTGGCAGCATTTACTTGTTTCCTTTTTCAGTCTCTACATCAACGTGCGTTGTCTTCTCAGCATCAATAATTGCAGATCACTTTTGCTGCCCTATTCATTGCATGCATTAGTTTCTTCAATTGAATTATTCTTATCCTTCAAATTGTTGCCGCTGCTCAGCAAGCTACTATACCCTTCCTTTCTCAAAATATCACCTAGTATAAAAGCTGTTATGGTGCCAGGCAAAAGTAACCACTCCTCTTTCACCTGATTTTTCAAAGAAACACGTGCAGTCAGGCAGATGTAACCCCATGTTTTGAAATTGAAACAAGTAATATATTGCAAAATGAATTTAATGGACTTTACATTGATTACACCACATTTTAAGTCGAGCAACGCCAATGCCCTTCCATATGGGTGCTCTGAAGAGAATTCAACTGCCGTCATAAAATCATCTTGATTTCTTCGCTTTGCACAATGCTTGTGCTCATAATCCAATCTCTGGCCAGGGAAGAATTTTACCTGTGAAATGAGTATGGAAAGTGTAAAGTCATGGAGAGCAAAGACGATGCAAACTTGTGAGATCCTCAAAACTACAATCAAAAGAAATACTGAGAAGCTATGCATTATCCATCTTCCTATCCTCTCTTTTCGTTAGTCCTACATAGCAGAAAACCATTGAACACCCGCCTCCCCTCCCCTCCTCACCAACTTCCGCCTGCCAACTGGATTCACTTCTTTCTCTCTAAACCTTAATTGCGTCTCTTCTCTTTCTCTAAGTTAAGAACCACTGACCCACTTCTATCTCCTGTCAAATAAGCAATTCATTATCATGCTTTGACGAAGAGAGTGAGAACAGATTTAATCCAAAACCAAGATTATCTTCAACTACGGCTTTTTGCTTCTTTCTAGTTTATTAAACCTTATCCCCTCTGTGCTACTTCCTTAAGTTCTTTTCTTATTTTCCCTTCTTGTTTTTTTTTTGTTGATTCTAATTCCTTAGATTTCTCACTGCTGAACATTCATGGTGCATGCTAATGCTTTGTTATTTATTTACATAATTTAAAGTTGTGGAGATAAGGTAGATTTCTCATTTTTCTTCCAAACTAATTTTCATAAAGCAAGATGAGAAAAAAGCAAAACAAGGAGCTATTCTTATGGAATTCTCAACATAAAGGAAAATAGGAAATTTCTGGAGTACTAACCACCACCTCGAATTCCTAATGATTGATGAGACTACAAACACAATCTTAATTCTTCAGAAGGCGACAACGACCACACAAGGTATAATTTTTTTAGGTCTTTCATTGATTTTTGGCGACTGTAAGTTTTGTGCACCTAATTTTGACACAATCAAATCTGACAAAGGCTGCTCATATTAATCTTTTTAAGTTTGGACAGTACAGCTGGAAGCAAAATAGTATGATATTGACTGGAGTAAGTCTAAACAGAAGAACTCAGATGCAGCAAAACTGTATTCCCATAAAAATCAATGAGAAATGTTTTGAATGAATGTATAAGGAACAACACATAGTGCTTATCCGCAAGAAGTATTCCTAAAATCTGATGGAAAATATCAATCATTCAGTCGATGAGTGAAATTAAAGAGTGATGAGTGAAAATCATAGGCATTTAACACGCATGTTTACCAATCTATAGAAGAAGAAAAAATTGTAAGGTGTAGTGGATGAACACTCACAATCCTGGAACCACCAACCAACTCCAAAAGGTAACCTTCATCACCACTGCAAGTTTGAAGTTGGAGGGACCAGTGGGAATCTAACAGCAACCACTCTTTCCCGACTAACTCCGCAAGAGAATGCGTCTCACCAGACTTGCTGATGCCAATCACCTCCTTTTGCAATGTAGAGTTGCTCATTCTCTTTGATTTCTTGGAGTTCCTGCAGTCAAAACATGAATTTCATGAGAATAGCTCAAGTTCAATACAGCTGACAGTTTCAAACAGCAAGAAGTAAAGGTGACAATAGTCTTTTAACTGTTTTAATTTAAAGTGTTCCATGGAATTGTAGAAGTGGTTAGAACTCTCACTTAAGTCAAAACAAGCACATCCTTCTACGCATATTCAAATATCAGATGGTCCCCTTCCACCAAATCAACCAGTTAGGCTTAATTAAAAACATGAAAAGGATTTACCCCAAGTTTGTTTTAAAGGAACAATAACTTTCTCAATATTTTGATGGTGATGTTAAAGGTTACCGATGTGTTAATTATATGACCACACAAGATGTTACGATTGATTAAAATGTTAATCTTGAATTAGAGGGAAAAGAAAAGTAAAATAGATATATACACAAACAACATGCAAATTTATGAGCAAGTCAAAAACTAGAACAGCACTAACGACAAAGAATACCAAAAACTACATACCTCATTTGCAGGCTAATGACCTCATCACCAGCATCATCAATGACACCAGTCCAATTCTTTGCATACTGAATACTTCCAGGTAGTGGGAAAAAACAAGAAGTTTTTGTGAATGCTCGGGAGCGAACCATGTGAAAAACATATGGTGCTGCAGTAGGTGTTGTAACCGATACCGCCACTCGTATACAGATTGGTTCCAGTACTTCTATTTTAGTGCTTGGCACAACTTCCAACCATTTTTCCATTGTGAGTTTCGAAGCTGGGCAAATCAAATCTTCTAAAGAGAAGGCAGTAGAACCCAGAACTTCAACAGATTTTGAAATCGGCAAACCATGAGATGATTGGGACATGAGTTCTAATAGAAGATGGCCACTAGGTTCACATTGGAAATAAGCAACCTGCTTTTCCCCACACTCAGAGAAAATAGTAAGTTTCTTTTTTGCATTAAAGATCCTATCAGGCTGTGTCTTGCTAAAAGAAACAAAGAAGCATCCCTTTTGACCTTCGGGTAAGTTTCTTATGCTTATAATCTCCAACATGACCTGCAAAAGAAATTTCTAGAAGTTACAAACTTTTGAACATCACATAGTCCAAAGTTAAAATCAGATTAACAGATGATAACTAGATAAGGTATGGATGATGAAGAACCAAGAAATGGCAATAGTTCTGTCGAAGGCTCGAAGATTGAGACAGAAGAAAAGAAGGCTTCTGTTCTATTTGTGGCGATCAAACAGTCTAGGTTACACAAAAATGCATTAACCCAATTCCAAGCTAACAAAATACTATAAACGACAGCAGTCTTAAATTTCCTAATAAAGGTTAAAGTTTTAATCAAATAATCTATGCCCATTTAAAGTGGCTCGGAAGTAGTGGTTCCCCTATCATCTCTAACTTTCCCTGCACACCAATTGATGGAAACAACTCAATTTTATATGGTCATCACATACTCCGGATCCCCTTTTTGCACTATTTTTTAAGACATAAAGCTGGTAATGAATTTCATTCGATGTATATACAAAATTATATCAACAATCCCACAAATAAAAACAAAAGCAGAACAGGCTTTAGAAACACCAGAAAGATTCAGAAAATTACTTCAAGAACTTTCATCTCTGGAAGATGAATTATCTTCTGATCTGCATGGAATGTATTTGCCTTCTTGCTCATGGAATTGGAGGGGTAAGGACAAATTCTAACAGGAGATGGTGCATTTCCTCTATACATTGCACCTGCTCTCCAATATCTTAAACCATACATTTCCTCCCATAGCTTTGTAGTTCCAGAAAACCCAGTATCCAGCTTCATCCCTTTTGTTCTGTCTGAATCAGTATCATCATGATCTAACACCTTACCCATAATATCAACAAGGTCTTTACAATAAGAAATAGGATGTAACTGATGAGTGTGCCAGATAAGGTCAATGTCATAAGTCGGAACAGAGAAGCTCTTGATTGATCTTTCTCTGTTTCTCCGGATTAAGTGTAAGAAACCCTTGTATCGAGCCACAGCTCCTTCAAGATAGAGCTCGTTGTTCATGTGGGGTCTAGATACCTGGAAGAAAGACATGATATAAGACAGCAACTCAAACTTACTATACTAGCATGTCTGAACAATATGGTATTAATAAAAAGTTATAAGAAAACGTGCTAACTTATACGCCACTCCTAATAATGCAAAAGATATAAAGACCAAATAGCCACATCACCATCCACAATAATTTGCAAGAGATAGTTGAAGTTTGCTACTTGGCTTCTCTACCTCCTTTATATATGACAAGGATGAGCAGGCAGGCACGAGAAATGATCCCTCTACCTCCCATTTCAGGTTTTTCCTTATTTATTCAGAATTGTCTTATATCATTCTGTTTATAAAGTTGTTTGGCCTGTGCTTTACTTAAAATGAAGTGTTAGCATCCTCATGCTCACCTGGTAGAAGAAAGGGCTTTGCCTTTTAACAGCAGAGACTAGATCATAGTTACTGCACTTTTCACATTCTAGAACTTGTACAGGGACATTATCTGAAAGAGCTCTTGCTGACAAGTCATAGGGTTCATTTGGATACAAGTGTTTCCATATCTCTTCCGTTTCCCTTTCTGATATTCCTTTCAAAGAAGATACAATGTTATGGTTGTCAAGAAGCCTCCCGTATAATTGCTCGCAGTCAGTCTTGTATCTAACCTGGAAAGGCAGTATAACCATTTCACGTGTCAATAAAAGCAATCAGTCACAAAGGTTGTCATGACCCAAACTAATTAGGGTCACGTGAGATGCACGTGCTTACTCTCATATATAGTACACAACCGTAACGTGTAAGGGGGCATTATTTTTTGGTGAATATTCAATATCTCTTCTTCCTCTTTTCTCTCTCTCTATAACTATGTTTCCCTCTAGTCTACTTCTTACCTCTCCTTCATCCTCTTCTCATTCCTCTGTTATCTCCTTCTCCTTAATTCTTCTTATCCATTGAATTAGGCAGTTCAATTTAGGATTTGATGTATTGATTCCCAAGCTTGTAATTGATTGTACAAATTCGTTTGATCAATAAAACTTTCCAATTTAGTTTCAAGTTGTGAGTACATTACAAATGGTATCAGAGCCATATCTTGGCACCTTTGGGAGTTCTACCGTCATGGCAGAAGAAACTGTGTTTGAGGATTTTCCAAAGACAATTCAATCGACTAGTGTTCGGAAGGGGGCAAACTTTGATAATTTGAATAGGAAATTGGATAAACCCAACTGGCAAATGGACAAAATCTTTGACAAGCTTGGAATTAATTTGAAAGATAATGGAAGTGCTTGTCATGTTCTTAAAGAAGATCGAGAAAGTACAAGAAAGGAAATAGAAGGTGCGACAGAGGAATCTGGTGAACTAGAGGTCTCATCAAGTGAAGGGTTCTTGAGAAAATTACCGGAGATGGATGTGCCTAATGAACCTATGGTAGAACCATTGAAGCTTGAAGATGCCTCAGAAAATCTTTAAGACTCAAGAACCTTGAGGCAGGGAACGAATTTATCATACCTCCACTTGAAGACGTTGGAAAGTCTTACGAGCCGGACGAATATGTCGAAATTGAGGTAAGTCAACAAGTTGTTCTTATGGTTGATCGAAAATCTCTCTTGTGTGAGCGTCATAGGGTGGGATGGTGTGTTAAGGACTCTAAGTGCATAATCTCTCATGTTTGGTATGGAAGGAGTCATGAGTTAGATGACACACTTAAGTTGTTTGATGAATTGCCCGAACTAGATGTTGTTTGCTTGATTTCAGTTATAACTGTTCCTGTCAACAACAAAAAATATATGAATGATCTCTACACTATGGTTTTTGATCCGGGAGGGATGATGTTCAGTTTGTTGCCTCACTACTTAAGCATGCTCTTCAGAATATCAAAGGATCATGGTGGGAGGGTGTTTGATCTTGCTGCAATTTTAATGCATGACACCTGCTTCCCTGTATTGGATAGTGGAAATGAACAGTATACATAATTTTTTTTTAAAATTGGCATTACAGTATAAGGGTTCATCTAGTTTAAGGTGCCCTGTTTTGACAAGATTACAGTATGTTTGGGCACTCAATTTCGTAGATTACCAACAAGGCGCTGAACTTGAGTTCTTTAATGAGTTGATTACATTATTGAATTACAAAGGTGTTGCTGCATTGGGACTTGATCGTGTTTGTTCTAGTCATTTATATGACACCTTTTCAAATTGGAACTTCAAGAAGGACTGTGATTGTTATTCGAATGGTTTGCCAGGAACCTTACATCGGGTGAAGCTACTTGTACTTGTCCATTGCTATTTGCTTACTTCCTTAACTATGCTTGTATCTATTTGATAAATGTCGGAAAGGCTATAAGGAAGGAAATAACTGGCTGAATCTCAAAAAGAAGAAATGTTTACATTGTTTGGTTGTCAACGCTAGAAATGAGAATTACAGACTTGTAGACGATGCACTTACTGATAAGTGTAAACTGGGCAAACTGACTTGTGAAATGAGGTTACGCAATAGTTGTGGAAAAAAATATAGTCTCATGGACATGGCTATTCACTGATTGTGCTTACTATGGCTCACATGTAGATACTCTAAAGCTCTTTCGTGAGATAAGGATGAGTAATCTTGGTACTAAATATATCTCAAGCAATACCTTTTTGTACTGCAACCTTGTGTTGGACACAACTGTTGTGCTAGCTGTAATTCAATCTAGATATGGTTGGAACGAAGGTGGAGATGGTTTGGAAAAGAGAGATGATAAAATAATTTTGATTTTTTATCCGGGAGGATGGAATCTGGTTCAGTTGTTACTGATTGCCAAACCCACGATGAGCTTCTTAGACCAGACGAAAGAACATAATTATATCCTTTGAGGTCAATGACTGCAGCAATTCCTGAGTCGTCCTTCAACAACAACCTTGAGGACAAGGTTGATTTCAAGCGGGGAAGATTGTCATGACCCAAACTAATTAGGGTCACGTGAGATGCACGTGCTTACTCTCATATATAGTACACAACCGTAACGTGTAAGGGGGCATTATTTTTTGGTGAATATTCAATATCTCTTCTTCCTCTTTTCTCTCTCTCTATAACTATGTTTCCCTCTAGTCTACTTCTTACCTCTCCTTCATCCTCTTCTCATTCCTCTGCTATCTCCTTCTCCTTAATTCTTCTTATCCATTGAATTAGGCAGTTCAATTTAGGATTTGATGTATTGATTCCCAAGCTTGTAATTGATTGTACAAATTCGTTTGATCAATAAAACTTTCCAATTTAGTTTCAAGTTGTGAGTACATTACAAAGGTATAATTGAAAACAAATGTTTCGACTGTTCAGAAGCTTACAGGATTGAGCCTGTGACAATGCCAAATCCACTCACAATCAAGGGGAACAACCAAAGGTCCTTCAAAGAAGGGGGACTCGGAGTGTTTTGCCAATAGCGGTAACCAACATGAATAGTACCTGAAATGGGGATTTGCATTAGCAAGTTTTCCAAATAAAGAAAACTGAAATACATGAATAAAAGTCAAATTCCCTATATAACTGAGTTAGTCCTCAAGTCCTTTTCAAGGATCATAATAGTTATAATACACAACATGAGTGAGAAGCGAAAGAACATAAAAACTAAATCAGTCACCTTGCACTGACTATTATACTGTACTTAAACCAATGCAATATTAACTGCTAGTATCACCCCAAGACCAGAAGACAAAACAAAACGTCTAATTAAGATAGCATTTTCAACAAGTAGTAACATCATAGCTAAGTGAACTGGGTGGAGAACTATGAGGTCTCAGGTTCAAATCTCAGTGCAGGCAAGATTTCTCTCATCTACCTAAGCCTTGGTGGATGTAGCAGGTAGAATAGTCAAGGTGCGTGCAATGGACATAGCTAAGTGAACAATTGCAATGGACTAGCGCTATCAAAAAAAAAAAATTATATATCATAGCTAAGTGAACAATTGCAACACAGCGACAATATCAAAATTGGGGATTACCTATAAATTGCCAAATTCAGAGCAGGGGCTTCATAGAGCCAACGGTTCCTATCAAGGGTAGCAAGAAACTCAAGATGCAGTTTGGCTGCAGCAACAAGGTCTACGTTTATCACAATCTTCTGTGCTTCATTCCACTCCAACTGCTGCTCCATCTCCATGTTTTCTTCGACCACAAGCTATTGGATTGACAACGTAATTGGTAAATTGCAGAGAGCGACTCTTTTTTATATTATATACGAGTTTGATGTTTTCAAAGTCTTTCTGACTCCAAATATATGTAGATTTTGCTGAGTAATTTCAACGAAAGCTTCGAGTTTGAACGTCAATCAATATTTATATGTGGATTAAGCCGCAAATAATACGACGAGTTTGAGACTTGATCAAGTCCACCGTGCTTTTTTTTTAATGACAAAACTACCCTCTGATAACATGCTTTTCTAAAAGGGTTAATTTTACCCTCTTTATACTTTGGATCTCTATATTATTTATTTTGATAAGGATATACTTTGCATCTAATACTAACCATGTTCAGGAAAAAATCTGGCTTATATGATACGTAAAAGATAGGAAAGTAAATTTAAATCTTTTTTCTCAAAATATTTTGACATATGGAATCCATCCTTTTTATGCTAGAGCTCGTCTAATGACAAAGTGCAAATACAACACGATTTACTAACTACACGAATATGAATGAAAGCGTCTCCTTGCCTTGTTTTAAGTACGTTGGAAATGCTAAATCTGTAAACAACAGGCCTTAACATTGGCTACCCGTGCACTTAACCCGTTATCTTAGCGGCTAGATTCGTATAAATATAGAAAAGTAGCACTAGGAAGCAAGTTGTGACAGCCTATAATGAAATAGCAATTTGTGCCAGCTCATGATCTAAACAAGTCGCACATATACCCTAGTATATGTTCCTCGACGCTGAGGGCACCCTGAAAGAGTGGGGATTTTATGACATTTTTGATCGGCTGTCTTGTATTTCTAATAAGTTGTTTAACAGTTGCCATGTTGGATCGTATACATAACACAATTAGTTCAAAGATTGACTTCACTTTACCTAATTTTATGTTAGCTAGTTAGTTTCGGACATTTTCTTCTGGGAAATTCTACAAGCTTTGAGCTTAGCTTCTTCAACCACAACAAATCAGTTTTAGTTGTGTCCTAGCATCTCGATACACCTGAGTACATAAAAACTTAAACCCTATAGATCTTTGAAACCAATAAGCAGAACTTCGGGCAAGTTTATATGTAAAAAGCTCTCTTTCAGAAGAGAAAATTACAACAAGCGATCAGTTACATAACTTTTTGCTATTTCTACAAAACCAACTATACATAACGCCTTCACTATTGCAACACATGCTATGCATTGTAAACCTGCATGCTGAAGAAGAAACATAAATCACCAACGACATTGCCTATTACTACAAATGTTGAAGCAGAGAACTGGCAGCTAGCAATAACAATAAATGGTAGTAGTAAGCAACATATATGTTGGTGGACTAAGTACTCATATCACTACTTCTTCGGGTTTTGAATCTTTTTCTGTATTAGCTTCTTTTTCCAAGTATTCTGCTTCAATTGTCTCCTTCAGAATGAAAAGTCTCTGAATAACAACAGGTTGATTTATCTGCTTCGCTTCCCTAATTTCAGTCTCTTCTTTATTCAGGTTGTACGCGTCAAGCATGATTTTAATCCACTTGTGCAGCTCTTTTGGAGTTCTGCTCCACACAAGAAAGCAAATAAGATTTGAGGGGGGTCATAATCCATGCAAATGCCAACCAATACCTAGATTATCTAAATGAATATCATGAATTCATCGGGACAGGAAAGCAGTAAGCTCTTACGTGTAAATAGCATTAGGATCCTTAGCATCATGTTCATGACCAGGACTGAATGCCGTTGCCAACGCTGAGAATCGCTCTTCAGGATCTGTGATGTTTAGCAAGTACTTAAGCAACTTTATTTCTTTTGGCGCCATACTCCTTAGACTACTTTGTGTAGCCTTGTATAGACGCTGCATTATCTCCTTTACCTACACCCATATGTCAGCATCAGCTCTAGTAAAATTATCTGGGACTTCAACTGAATAAACGATTGCCAACAGAGGGAGGGAAATTCGAGTACAAGATAGAACATAATTAACATTTGGGACAGATATGGTTTAAATTACTGAAGTCAAATTGGCCTATATAGTTAAAGAAAAGGAGGAAAACAGAAGAACGTCTAGAATAAGGCTACTGCTAACATTTTCAGGATAAATTGATAACAGGACTCTGCAAATTACTTGTGCAAACATGACCAACAGACATTAGTTAAAAGTTGAAACATATTTTCGTCTGAATCTCTTTGTTTCATTACAAAATAAGACACCTCCAGTTTTTACAATTATATTGAAGTCCTCCCTTTCAACCCCTTCCAAACAGAATAAGAAGAAAGCATGAGGACATGGAATTTAATTTAAGACAATTGAAAAACAGTTAATTTTACTTAATTGGAACCAATGGCATCGAATGGCCCTGGAGTTATGAGTACCTTCAGGGATGAAGTTCTAAACTTTCTAAACTGTTTAGTAGTATTTGTCATTGCCGTCGTCATACTACTAATGTTTTTTCTTGTATATGAGCTACAAGTTCTCATAAACCATCTACACCCGACATAGCATGTTACACGACATTTTCACTGGCACAAAGTTTTGACATGTACACCATATTGGTGTCAAATGTTTTAGAATATAGTACATGGAAGTGTCATAAATCATAAATCGGAATAGTAGTAGTATTACTATTCAACATAAAAGAACATCTGCAACTGTACATCCATTCCATCAATCTTCAAGTCTCCATAAAAGAAAAGCAGTCATATTTTAGTTTCGTTTTTTAAGAAACAAAAGGGAAAAGGAGAACTACTAAATGGAAGATCCAAAATTGGGGTGTCAAATAGATGGATTGGCTTAAGTTAGGGCGCATAAAAAGGGTAGACCCAATGTTTGCTTGGATCAAAATGGGTTAAGAAACTAATCATAATCTAGCTTGTCCAGCTCAACTTTGGGATCGTCACAATTCATGATTCAAACATAGGTTGGATTTCTTCAGGTTTGGAGTTAAAACGAATTGAGTCGATAAACAAAACATGGCCCAACTTAAGTTTGAACACCCCTAGTCCAGAAGGGTATACTCCAATCCATAGATTCCAACATCACAAACAATGATGTAAAGCTATTTCGACATCACAATAACGGAAAAAACACATTAACAATCTCAAATTGCTTAAAACGAATATAACCATACCATAATACGGTTAGGATGGTTAAACTAGTAACAACTTAACAGTGCACATTCGTAATGTGACAAGTGCAAGTTGTCTCCATTTCAGTAGGATACAACTTGAATGCACAAACTATAAACTTCCTAGCACATTAATGGATGCGTGAGAAAAAATGAAGTACGAATTTTTTTTTATATACGTGCAATATGAAAGAGTCCATCTTCTTGACAAGTTTAAGACACAACGCAATCCAGAACAGTTTATGGAACATCATTAACATCACAATAATGTCTAATCAGAACATTGTTTGGACTAATTATAAGTTCCTGAACATATGATGAAATTCAGCATTTCTCTTCAAAAAAATAGATCAACAAAGAAATCTCTGTGTTTGTGAATAAAATGGAGTAGACTATAAAAGTCCATACCTCATTTCTCATGGTAGAGGATTCTTTTGCTGAAGCCCAAGCACCGTTTATCAGCAGGACCAAAGAAGAGTCAAGTTCTTTAGACTTGGCAAGGCTTTTAATCTTCTCACATGCTGCATCAATTGATGGAGAGTTCAAGATGTCATCAAATTTGGCCTGGGCGGTATCTAGTGTTCCCACAATCTCCAATGTGTTATCATAAGCACTGACTGCAGACAAGCATCTAGTCCCAAGTCTGGCAATTGCTGCTCAACCAAAAATTCACAAAATATGACAACGTGAAATACCCACTAAATAAATGACATGTTCTTTATCATAAAATAAATAAACAAAATAAATGGCATGTTCATTAGATACCTCCTAGAACAAACGTGACTTCAACATAAGAAGAAAGGGAAAATGACTTATACAGGCTGATAAGTGTTGTCAAATGCGAAAAGCCCAGAAAAACTCCAAGTGCCTATTGGGGCTTTAAGCCCAAAGCAAATTAAAGCGAGCTCTTTAGTGAAGAAAGGCACAAATGACGAAAAAATTCAGAAATATATGTTATGCAGAGTCCAAGAAAGCTAAGCAAGATCTGCAATTAAGTGAATAAAGTAAATATGATATAATTAAATTTGAAAACTATCTTAATTTATAATTTTAATGCAAAGAGCAAGTTTAGGTTTCTAATTTAGATTGGTGAATATCAACCCTATTCTAAATTTCTAACTTCCTATCTCAGGTCACAATGTTTCCTTAAAAACTGATATTTCATTTCGCTAATATTATTTTGTAGCTTGAATTATTTCCTTGTAATTTTGGGAAACCCATAATCCCTATAGGTTTAGGAAAACCCATTGTCCTAATAGATTTGGGAAAGGAAAACCTATAGTCCTTGTCAAATTGGGGAACCTTTCTCTTATAGGTTTGGGACTATTTGGGATCTATATATAGAGGTTGTAGTTGGGAATTCTATAGATTGTATTGTGTTTTTCTTCTCATTCATAGTGGAAAACTCTCTCTGCTTCTGCCCCGAGGATTAGGCTTAGCCGAACCTCGTTAAATCCTTGTATTGATTTTTCTTCTCTATTTGCTTTGTGTGTGATTGTATGCTAGTTAACCCACGATCTTCCGCAACAATTGGTATCAAAGCAAGGTTCGGGTTTTTACATATAATCTAGAGTAAGATGTCTTCATCATCTTCAACAAAGTACGAAGTAGAGAAATTTGACGGGGGTTCTAGTTTCAGTTTATGGAAGATTAGGATGAAATCGTCACTGGTGTTACAAGGTTTATAGAAGGCAATTGATGAGGATTTTCCTGAAGAGATGAAAGAGACGGAGAAGGCAGACCTAAAGGAGAGGGCTTTGAGTGCGATCTTCATGAGCGTTACACATAGCGTTCTTCGGGAAATTGCTGAAGAAACTTCTGCAGCAATGGCATGGAAGAAGCTGGAAGATCTGTATTCTAAATAATCACTGACAAACCGCCTCTACCTGAAAAAGAGGTTATACAATCTCCGTATGAACGAAGGTACACATGTTAAAGTTTAATTCAATTATAATAGACCTGAAAAACGTGGATATCAAAATTGAGAGTGAGGATCAGGCCTTGATTGTGTTATGCTCACCCACCGTCTTGTGATACTTTTGCCGATATGCTGCTATATGGG